GACAAATGACGATGTATTGGTATTATTTCTGAAAGTTTAAAGTTCTCAAAATAATAAGATAAATAGATAAATAGTAAGCTATTAGAAATATAAGATAAATAGATAAATAGTAAGCTATTAGAAATATAAGATAAATAATAAGACTTGATAAATGTTGTTCAAAAATAAGAAATTACGGTTCTAAAATATCGTATTATATTTTCATTGTTTTCCTACTTGTCTGCAGGCCGTATAAAATTCGTTTGCAGGTGGTATGTGGCCAATGGGCCTCCATTTGGTGTTTCCTGCTTTATACTATATTTTAATAAATTATCATCTACAAAATTTCGCATACCAATTTGTGGCTTTTTTCCATAATAAATAAAATATGATACAGAATGTTCTACAATTTTTTTGGGTGTTAATACTTTATAAATAATATTTTTTTTTTTTTTTTATTGAGTTTTGTGTCAGGGGAATGTCTCTGCAACCAAATCGGTTTGCACATCTACAAATTAAAATCTGAATTGTTTCTCGATATTTTAGACGTATACACATCCGAATTAGTTTCCGATAAAGACTTTCGAAAAGGGTGATATGTAGTTTAATATTATTATTTAAAGTCAATAAAGAGTGATATTTTTTATCACGAACCGGCAATATATATCGTTGAATTTTAAGTGAATTTGATTTCCGTTTTTTTTTTTTTTTTTTTTAATTATTATGGAATCATTTAAGCTTTATTTTAAAACCATATTTAATTTTTCACTCCTACTCCATATTATACATTAAATAAGACATACTTTGGTTTTTCAAATAGGAACCCCCCCCTTTTAAGACACAGATTCTAATATAGAATATTTGCATTAGAAATATTGGTATACATAACACTAATATCATATTTATGATTTATAAGTTATATCCACTTAAAGTTTAGACCAGACGAGTAAGGAAGAGTTATCAATTTATTATTTAAAAAAAATAGATATGCAATTTATTACTGGTTTATTTTATTACTGGTACTTTATTGCTACTTTATGATAAAAAAAAAATCACTCGGTATAATATATTTCCCATCATTATGTGTAGGTGTATATATTCTAATCAATGTCGTTACTCGTTACGGTATTCACCAATAACAGTACAGTGTACCAGTGTATGACACTGTACGCATATTAAAAAGTAGCGTTGCATTTGCATAATATCATTGATTGAATAAATGATATTATGTAGACAAATCTTAGTCTCATGGCGCCCAGATCGGACCAATTTGGATAATATATATATATCCTTTGTAACAATTTGTTTACCAATATGAACGTTTAGGAACGAAATCGGTTATACCGATAAGATAATAGGTATAGAATAAAATAAAAACCTACTAATTTTCAAAATAGCTATCATTTCTATTATTGCATATATTATGATTGTGATTCATTATCATGCTTAAAAAAACTGCTTGGAAAATCAAAAAATGACCTTTCAAATGTACTATTTGGACAACATTCCCTATCAGAAATGTTGCTACGCGTATATATTTAATAGAATTTTTGTAGGCAATAAAAAAAAAAAAAAAAAACATATTTGCAAATCCAATACATTCTTCGCTGCACTCAGAATGTAAAAAACTTCAAAAGTAACTTGTAAAATTTTAATGAGTGACTAGTAATTAACAAGCAACTTTTTTTATTTAAGAACTTATAACTTAATTAGGTTACTTTATAATTAAGGAAAGTACCTGTAACTTACTTGGTTACTTAAGTTCAATAACTTGCCCAGCTTTGGTAAAAACGGTATATGGACAATTGACCATTTACCGATACCCAAATGAAAGATACGGATTATAAAGAATTATTCGAAAACCAAACTACTAACCCAATTACAAATTATCAAATAACCTTTAATTTTTTTAATTTTTCTTGGCTTTTCCGGGAATAAATTAGAACACAAAAAACAATTTTCCATTATTATTCTGGAATACGCAACATAATATACAAGTACATATGATTACCCATTATGATTTTATTATTAGAATAGAACAAACAAGTTTGATTTAAGCATAGATAATATAAGATTCTTATATTATCTATGGAATTGAGGCGTTCTCTGACTAAAAGTAAATTAAAAGACCTTATATATTTAAGATAACGTTATACCCACATCTATTGTCTCAGTCCAACTACCGGGTAACATACATAAATAATGCTTACACAGAATAAGTAAGACAACATTCCCTTTCAGAAATGGTACTGCGCGTTTATACCTGAGTAAGATTTATGGTCAAAAAGTTGTGTACAAATTAAGAGAAAGAAAATCTTACTAAAACCAATACATTCTTCGCTAAACTGAGAATCTATAATGTAAATAGTTCCCCCTGAATGAAAATCTTATTGCAAAAAGGTATACACCACATTTTAAATATTAACAAAATGATCAAAATCCGATGAACTTTATAGAATACCCTGTATATTACGGAAATATAAATGTCGAAATTTTTCAGGGGAATCGGCATGACAGGTAAATGAGTAATGGCCTCATTTGTTTTGCGTGTTAAGGTGTCACGCAAACATATTATATTATCAAGGACCTATGATATCTCTTTGATATTTTATCAAACCATACATAATATGTGTTGTGTTGTTTTATAATTATTTGATAACTCATAATTAATAAACCATACTCGAATACTATAGTTGAAGCTTTAATTTATCATAATCCAATTAAAATAAGAGTTAATCCCAAGGTTATGCATTTGATTAAAGTATCAATTTTTATTTCAAAATTATTGTTTTTATATTATTTATCGCGTTATTGAGTCGTCGTATTTACCCAATTACACTATTTCTACACTATTTTAAGTTGGTTTTTCTTATCAGTTATCACATAGAAATATAGTTGAATACACACTCTTTATTATAACACGTATCAATTATTTTATTAAAATTCAAAATATTTATAAAAAAATTAACCAATTATTTGGGAATCAGTGGTTTGGTCTAGTATTTTGTGTGATATTTTTTTTCGTGTTTTTAGGGTAAACACATTACGCTCGAAAGACCGAATTCATTGAATAGTTTAAAAAGTACATTACTAAAAATACAAGAATATCATATAGTCAAGTAATGTTTTCACACGTATTCAGCATTATTCAAGTAAATTAAACATTTTGAAAACATTTATTTTATATATTATGTAAAATTTGAATAAAATAACACGTTATGCGATAAGGAATTACAATCAGCACGGTTATTTCTCATCTATTAAATATCAATTGTTTTCACTGATATTTTCTATACATTAAAGCTACTATAACTATGGAACTAATAGGATACATTGAAATTTTACGAATAATATATTTTATAAAATGGCTTTTTTTCAGTTAGATTAAGAGATTAAAATAAAAATTTAATTTTTCTCTACAAATGTCCCTAAACCCGATTGAAAAAAAAAAAAAATTAAAAACAAATGAATATTAACATATTCAATAGTATAAGGATAATACTGTAGGATATCCTGTATATTTAAAAAAGAAACCTTAAAATATTATAACAAATCAGAATATAATTCGACTTGTGATGGAGCTCTGCTGCTTATTGTTGTTATTATTATTGGTATACTTTATATTAGCTTTATATGTTCATGCTATAAAAGAAATCAATTTAGCTGAGACAATAATTTGTTTTATAGTTAGTGTCCTCCTGAAGAATGAGTTTTAATATCAGGACTAACAAAACTAGAATATTCTATAACCTAAAACTCGTCGATTGAAATTTTCCTAAAAAAAAAAATTTTAATTGGATTATAGTTTTATCTAGAATATACTATATACTAGTATATACTATAATTGGGTTTGCCTAGTAGTACTTATACACTTACATTTACATTTTACAGTCGTTATTTAGCAAGCACTTGTTCAATAAACAAAAAACTCAAGTAATTTATATTACAGCAGAAAAAATACGTTGTTTTTTTGAGTGAGATTAGCGTGTAATACAAAAAAATAATATTATGTAAATTTACAAGCATGTCTAGTCACACCAGTCATATGATCTATTAGATTTATGATTTTCGTTGAAGTGGGCAATTGTAAATCTGTTTATTAACTACCTACGTTAAAAAAAAAAAATCACACTACACAAGAATGGGCAAATAAATTTTTTATTGTCTGTTATTAGATAGTGGTTGTTTACAAGTATTTGGATGTACAATTTTAATTACATTTTTTAAAACGAAAACACCTGTTTTTAGACACCAAATTCGAATAATTTTATTTGTTCAATAACTGATGATTCAAAAATTATGATCTCAAAATGGCCCGAGATATAAATGTCTTAAGTTGCAAAATATGATTAGGAAATTAAATTAAGTTTGTGCTTTGAGAAGGTCATTTTCTATTTTGAATTCAATTATTTTTTTAAAAGTGTTCAAAATATATAATCGAACATCGACCATAATTGTTTATTGTTAATAGTATAATATGGTTTATTCCTTACTGGTATAAATTACAAGATTGTGTGTATCCTAAATTTCCAATTTTCCACCTATAGCATTGACACACTTGTTCCCAGTATCAGCTCTTTATTTGTTTTGACTTTTCTGTGATTTACGTGTATTAGTCGAATAACACGAGTTAAAATAATTACGAAAGTCACATGAGAGTAGTTAGTTAAACAATAATATATTATCTATACCCAATTAATTTTGTTTCGAAATTGATATTAATATTGCCATCATTCAATACATCATACAATAATTGTTGTACCCGTGCGGTAAGATTATTTTTAAACATTATAAACATTTTTTTAATGAAAACAGCAAAAAAACACAGCTCATTTTTAATTTTTACGTGATAACTTATATTATAAGTTTAACTACTATAAATATTCTTGAAAATAACCTAAAGAATAATTTATTAACACTAGTTCTTTAATATTATATCACATTTTAAATATCGAACATTCATTCAAGAATGTGTACTTCAATAATATTTTTGTTATAATTATAAAGTATATTTTAGTAATACAGCGTGTTTCACTTAATAGCTAGAGAAACGAAAAAATTACAGCTAAATAATATAAGATTAAAACGGTTTTTCTTTTAGTAAGATTAGGACCAAGTCGTACAAACTTTCCGTAACGATTTACTGAACTATCATAACACTTACAGATCTGTAAACTAGATTTAGTGTTGCTTGAGCGTGCTGTATTATTTTAGATTTACTGTAGTCCTATATAAACTAACTATTTACAGACTTGCAAGGGACTATAATTTACAGGATAAATTGCATATCTTTACAACTCCTTGTAGAACGATTTACACATTGATATCATCATTTTACCAATGTTATTATGTTGCCAAAATTTCTGATAGTTTTTTTTAAATTTATGAATCAATTGCTAAATTTTAAATTATGGATTTGTTAACTTTATCATCATCAAGTGATGATGAATTTATTATCGATGCAATAACCACATTACCGAAGAACAATTATCCGGGGTAGATTGAATTCGCTGATTGAGTTTAATGATTTAGATTTTAAAAACGATTCAGATACTAATCTAATAACTTATAATATAAAATAATAAAAAGCATTTTTTTTTCTATCACAAAGATGCCGTATTTTTATTACTTATTATTGTTCTGGGTTTAGTTATTTACTCGAGTAAAATAACCATGGTTCAGGGTTATTAAATTATAATGGTTTAGTTTATCTGGTAACCGTTATTACCATTATATTTTAATTTATAGATTCATTTCAAATTTGTTTGTGCAACCCTGCTGAAGAGTACTAAAATAGTAATTATTACACATTTTGAACCAGTTTTCAAAAAAATTTAACCTCGTAGCGCATGCATGTCTAATACAACTTTCATTTTTTCCTGGAAAAATCGATTTTGAACACCAGAAATAATTCTATTATTATCTATTTATTCACATATGGTTTTATTTATTATCATCTCATAAATAAACTGATATACTGAAATTTGTAATCTTTAAACCATCTGTTAATTAAAAAAATATAATTTTTTTCTTTGTTTTCAACAAATTTAAAATGTACAAATTTAAATGCGAAGAAATTCGAATATTTTTTAGTTAATTATAAGTAACGATGTAAAAATCATACAATTTCACGTACATAATAACATACAGTTTCAAATTTTTCAAAAAGTCAAGGCATTTTAAATAAATTTTAGATGATTTTATATCATCTTTCAAGTAATTTTTGAGGTAGAAAGAAATTGTATTAGTCAAAGTTGAAAAAAAATTCGCATCTGATGTTAAAATAAGTGTTTTTATTTCAGAAAATGTGAGTTTTTCTAAGGATTAAAATTTTAAAAATAGCTCAAAATATGAATATGTATTTTGATACCTCCGATTTCTCTCTCCCCCAAAAAAATAACCAATTAATCGAAGTGAGATAACCTACCATTTCAATATTTAAGTGATTTACACTACATACGATTTTTTTTTTCTATTCATTTGTTTAATTATTATTTAAACGCGTTTATATAGTGTATAAAGTTAATATTGAATGACGGCTTACCACATTTGAAATTAATAGAAATTGATGATATTCGAAACTGGAAACTATTATTGTTACATAATTAACAATTCATTAAAACCACGTGATATGAAATTATTGCGAATGACCGTTATCCACATTGTGTACCTGTTCCCGCGAGCGCCAAAACTGCGGACGTGTTTTCTTGTTCCCGTTGTTGATTTATGTACCTGGCGTTATATTATATTGCTGAAATCATACGGCATTAGCTGCACGTCTGTACTTTCTTTTCTATCGAATGAGCCGGCAACACCCTTATTAAGTAAATATATTATTCCGATTTTTTTCCCTGGAAAACAAAATGTCATCATTTTTAACAAATAAAAATAAAATAGTATAGACATGGTTTTTTTTAAGCATTGAAATTTACCACAAACTGTTTAACAGTACTTACTACAGATTTTTTTTTTTTTTTTGATTTATCCCACATATATACTTATAGACTTTTGAATGCACACAGTTACATGACATTATCACTTTTGAGCAAATATATTATAAAATTTATTTTCCCTTTTTCAAAACAGTTAATAAATGTTAGATCATGAACGTAGCAAGGGATCTATACGAATAAATATGTATGTATATATTTTTAATTTAATTAAAATCAAAAAATCGAACTTCGATATCTAAAATTTGACGTTTCGAAATACAACATCCGAATTCCGGATTTTCGGATAATTCGGATTTAAATTACATTATTAGTACTTACGTTAAGTTATCGAGTAGACAAGATAAATAATTCACAAATAAATAACTGGCTATACTAATATATTAAATAACTATTACATAATTATTTTATCGAGACGTTTACAAATATTATTAATCTCAGAGGAATAACCGAATATTTGTTTAAATGTTTATGACACCAGTAATCTAATAAAGATTTATGTTGGATATTGTAATAATATAGTATTAATCTCATATAGGTGCCTACTATAAAAGAGAAGAGTAAAACAGTGATTATATATAATTATTATGTTCAATTTTATTTGTACGATTTAGATTATTTCGGTTTATACTGTATATTCTTTAATCTTTTGGCACTATAAATTTGCATTTTGAAACGCGTACTGTTAATATATATAAATACAATTCCTATTTTGATAAGCTATAGTTGTTTGTTAACCGTCATTATAAAATCATATTATGCATTTGATAGTTTAATATTTCGAAATGTTAAAGATCATAGTTTTCGGTTCGTTGTTTGTCGCCCATTGTTTCGTGTCATCAGAAATCATATTCGATGGATTCGATGATAAATTTAAACCGGAATGGTGGCAATCAGATATCATTTACCAGGTGTATGTGAGGTCTTTTAAAGATTCCAACGGTGACGGAATAGGAGATATTAACGGTGAGAAAACTAAATAGAAATATTATCTTTGAAATACCTACCTATATATACAATATATTTGATTAAAATTGTTACACTAAATACTTCACCAATCTAGGTGAAGGTTTAGATGACAATAAGGTTTGTTTTAGAAAGATCGGATCCCAGGGGTACCAAAATACCTATTTTAAACAAATTTTTAAAATGTTAACTAATGAGATACCTGGTACATGCACGCGCAATAAAATTTACAATTTTTTTTTTAAAAAAAAAACACCTATTTTGAATAGGCACATTAATTGAATAACCCTATAATTATTTTTTCTTTGAAGCAACTTTGATTTTTACATACTTGTTTATATAAACAATTTCACGGGTATAGCCATTTAAAAAGTTTAAAAATATAATTTTTCAAAAAATGTAATATTCATGTTAATATATTTACGTTACTTTAACCGCTAATCCCTCCTACCACTAGATTTCGATTTGTTTAGAGTCAAAACTTAGCATCGAATGAGCATAAACTTTCATGATTAATTTTAATATTTGTACGATACCGAGCGTACATTCTTCACGTAACCATGTACTCATTCTAAAATTATACTTATTACTAATAATATGTGGCAATTGGCAATGTTTTATGAGTACAAATAAATGTAAAATTAAAAATGAATACAAATAAATATCATAAGCCAGCGGCTGTATACTTTTCATTTTCGTATCGCACACCTAACACTTTGTATTATAAACAATTTTAGACCTTTGTGTAGATAATACTATAAATTATAGTGATTATAGGAAGGTTGGATATATATGGGAATTGAATGTATATCTGTACGTAACGTAATTAATCTTTGCTAACGAAAAACAATTCTGAGCGGAGTTCAGTTGTACATGTTTTAAAAGGTCGTAATATTTACGATTTGAAAATAATACAATTCGTTAATATTCTCATTCTCCCTATGTTTTTTGCCCGGGATTTCCCATTTATTATAAAAACAGTTGAGAAAATCAAAAAATGGTCTCCCTAAAGTACCATCTCAGTTAGATTTTTTTCCGAAAAAGTGCTATAATTGAAAATCTAAACGAAATTTCTGGTAGAAAATTTGTACACAGAAAAAAAAATTTAAAATAAACATTATTGTAAAACCAATAGGTACATTTATCGCTCCGCTCAGAATCTAAAACAACTTAAATGCACATTATCAACTTTAACCGGTAACAATCGATTTACCCGCGATTAACAAAAAACTATTTTAGGACTTTTAGGTAGGTATACAAAATTAATATTATATTCTTTTGAAATAAAATACGTATTTAACTAGGTAGATTTTTTAAACGGTATCGAATTTGTTTATTCGATTTTGTCCCACAGCAAAGATCGTAGATAATTAAGTATATATTTGTAATAATACTTTTGTCATCTAATTTACTCGATTTTTTTCAAAAGGCATTGCTGAAAAAGTGGATTATTTCAAAAGTATAAACGTCGGCGCAGTGTGGTTGTCACCTATATATAAATCACCCCAAGATGATTTCGGTTATGATATATCAAGCTATAAGGAGATCGATCCGTTATTCGGTACGATGAAAGACTTTGAACGCTTGAGAGGCTTACTCCACAGTAATGGTACGTATTAGAAGTTTTTCTATTTTCTATTTTATTATACGGCGTTTGAAGGTCTGAAGAAAATATTGTAAATTATCAAAATGCCAAAAAAACAAGACAATTTCGAAAAAAATGTTTTCTTAATCTAACCAAAATTATTTTGAATATGTATAATATTACATTATATTCATAATATAATTTATATCTGATATTGTCGAAACTCTTAAGTCCTAATAGGTATCACAAAACATATATTATATATAAAATATATTTTATTAGAAAAAATTGAATCCTATCTATCAAAATTGCTAAAATGATTTTTAATTTAAACAAATAACAATTAAGAACCAAGTATTAAACTGACTCTAAAATAGATACCATGAAATATCTAGTGACCTCGTGCGCACGTCTATGCCTATGACAGTGACACACATCGGCAGTATCAGCGTTTTTTTTTTTTTCATTTGTGTGTATTCCGTAGATATCAAATTAATATTGGACTTTGTGCCCAATCACACGAGCGACGAACATCCGTGGTTTCAAAATTCAGTAAAGAAAATTGAACCGTACACGAATTACTATGTATGGAAAAATCCAATAAACGGGACAGACGGAAAACCACGGCCTCCAAACAATTGGGTAAGCAATGAATAGAATCGTTTATAGTGTTCTATATATACAAAGATGGAATAATACGTAATGCCGCCTATCTCGCAGTTATTTTTAGATTTACGATAAAATTTTCATTTGATGCACATTCAATAGTTTATGTCATTGGTTTAGTGTGTGCGAATACGCGATCGTACAATGTTATTATTTTATTGTTTATACAATTTATAATGACGGCCCCTTCAGCCTGTGCGGTTCAAATAGCAATTGATCACTAGGATTTCAAGTCATTACACATCCACCCTGTAGACCAGATTTGGCCTTATGCAATTTTTTTTTTATTTCTCAAGCTTAAAGAACATCGCGAGGGTAAAAAATTCAATTCTCACGAGAAAGTTTAAGTTGAAGTTAAATTGATGGTTCAATGTTCAAACTGTAGAATTTTATCTGAACGGCATTTCTAAACTATTAAATCGTTTGCAAAAATCTTTTGCCTTAAAAGGCAATTATGTTGAAAAATAATAGTATGTAAATAAAGTAATTCATTTACTATACATGTATTTTTAATTCATTGTTTTATGTATAATAGATTTGAGTTGCACGTTAAGCCCGTTCTCGAATAACATGTCCTGACTGATTGATTCGTCATTACGTAGGCTAAACCACAGGACGAAGCTAAAATTTGGCAAGCAGATAGCTATTATGACGTAGGCATCCACTAAGAAAGGGTTTTTGAAAATCCAACCCCTAAGGGGATAAAATAGGGGTTTTAGGTATATTTGGTTAGTTTTACGAAAATCTAATTGCTTATTTATTTATATTTGTTTATTCAAAAGTTACATTGGTGATACGGATGATAATTTGGCTGTCACGGATAAAAAAACTATTATAATTACTAGTATTAATATTATTTACACTATTCAAATTTTACAAAAAAAAAAAAAAACACTTTTAGTCCACCTTCGGTGGACTATCCACATTCCACCTATTTTTTTTTTATTCGATTCCGACATGGTCAAAACTATTTATGAATATGGATTATAACAAAATAATAAAAATTGCCACGGATGAGGGACAGCTAGTGTTATAATATAAGCCGCTTACTTTATGTTGTACGAATACGAAGTTGTATTGAAAACACTATTATAGTAAAGTGTTTTTTTTTAAAGAAATGTTCGCATTGCTTTGCAGTTGGGTGTCTTCAATAAAGGTTCTGCGTGGAAATGGAACGAAGAACGTCAGCAGTACTATTATCACGCGTTTCAAAGAAAACAACCAGACTTGAACTACAGAAATCCCATGGTTGTGGAAGAAATCAAAGTATCAGTTTTCCAATTATACATACTTACAGTAGTTATTATTTTATTTTTTATTAAATACCAACCCTTGAAATACAGAACACTATATCCTATTGGCTGGGCCGCGGCGTAGACGGGTTCAGATTCGACGCGGTTAATTATATATATGAGCGAGAAGATTTATTGGACGAAGATCGATCCTATATCCCGGGTATTTACGAAAGCGATTACGATTATTTGAACCATACAAGCACGCTCGATCAACCGGAAACTTACGAAATGGTAAAAATATGGAGAAAATTATTGGACACCGAAACTGACGATTATACAGCAGCCGGGGTAAAATCCAAGTGAGTATTAGGTATAATAATATAAAATATATTAATGCCCACACCGCAATGACGAAATGTTTCTCGACTATATAATTACAATATTTAAAATTATTCACGTACTTTACATCCCCTCCCCCCCTTAGATTTTCCAATACTATCACCTGTATTTAGTAGGTCATTTGTTTGATATTTTTCATGATTTGTTTGGATTCCCTACGGTCGTTTTATTCGAAATACAAAGCAGGAGCTGTAGAAAGTAAAAACGTTATTCGCTAGTAAAGCACTTATAATATAAATTTAATGCTATTTTTAGAATTATATTATTTTATAATCATAACTGTATAATACCCAATTTCCATATCTGTTCGATTTAAACAATTCCCGTGCAATGAAATGCCTACCATTGGATAACACAATGGATCGCGTTATCAGAAATGTATAGCGTGTATAAACAGACCTTGGAATGTACGTTTAAAATATAATTTAGTTTATAAGCTTAAAATTGACCTTAGTAATTACATTTTTGATGATCTCTAAAATATTATATTCTTCAAACATTATCAGTAAATCTTTAATTTTTGTTTGTTTCTAGTCTCCGATAAATTATGTTATCTTTTACTGATCCAAAGCTATTTCATTATATTTTTCTTTTAAGTACCAAAATTATATTTTTATCAGTTTTTTTTTTTTAGTGTCGGTAACGTTACCCTAGCACCTGGGACCAATAATTTTATCAAATTTCAACCACGCAGTATTATGTATTTTATTTAGTACAACCAAAATTAATTTCGCTTAATCCTTAAAAAGTTTCAAAATCCAATTTTATCCAACCAAATAAAACGATTTTGGACACAGATCCATTAATTATTATTATTATGCTGTACAATAACTCCTGTTTTAGATATCCAGTGAAGAAGATAGTGATTTTAACGTTTTTACTACGACGTTTTGACCATCCCTATTCTTCAATTTAAAAATAAACTTTCCTGTTTAAGGTTTCAATATCCAAGTTAAACAAAGTTTCTTTAAGGTTCCATTTACTATCAATAGTCTGCTTTGTAATTTCAAGCTTACGCCCATATAAAAGTTATAGACTATGGTCAATGGAATGGTTTGCGGCTCACAGTGATTTAAAAGTCGTAATTATGAGTTTTGACTTGTTAACATAATATAATAATGTATAGTAATATAATATTATATTACTTAAGTATAATAAATACAAATACGAGTTATAAAATACTAATAATAAAATCGTAAACAACAGACATTTAAATAAAATCCATTAGTTATAGATTAATTAGATATTTACCGATTCTCGTTTCGTCTGATAAAAATTCGACTAGAACTACATTTCGGTATTTTATGGGTACACATTTCGATTATTTTCGACTCCCCACAATTATGAATATTATGCTCTGTTTTATTATCATTAACCTATAGAAATTTAGTTTATGAAAATGTGCTTGTTAATAGCGAACGAAAAATATTCTTACGATAGCATAGTCTTGTAGTAAATATACGTAATCATTTTGTGTTCTCATTTTTACAACTGTAGATTTTTCATGGTGGAATGTTACTCACCACTAAATAAAGTCATGGGTTATTACGGTAACGAAACGACGCCCGGTGCCCACTTTCCGTTTAACTTTTTATTCGTTCGAGATCTAAGCCAACAGTCCGACGCATATGCAGTGAACGATATGATTAAATCGTGGATTAAAAATATGCCCAAAAACATGTGGCCAAACTGGGTGGTGAGTCCTAAAATGGCGATAGAACCGATTTTACATAAATATTATTATTTCGCACTAGAAATTAAGAAAAGAAAATCGATGTCATTTTTAATTTTCTTTCTTATTTTAATTATTTATTTATGGTTTTTATTATAAAATACAGGTATCAGTTTTTCTTTTTAAATGTCGATTTTAAATACAAGTATTACAAATTGCGGGGACGAAGAGGTGGATTGGAAGTGAAAGGATGATGGTAAAGGTGAAGAACGGTGAATGTTGAGAATAATGGTGAAGATAGATGTGGTGCTATAGGTACGTGATAAAAGATAAAATGTGATGTGTTAGTGAAATCTCACGTGTTCTTTTATTGTCATCGTAGAACGGATTTTTTTGGAAAAGTAAATTTGACTTCCGTCAGTTAGGGTCAGAGTAGAAAAAAATAGGTGTCCTAGGATAATTATTTATGATTATGTCTGAGCACTAACGAGTTCATAAGTTAAATAACTTAACTTTAATTTAACTCAATAAATTGTTTTTTTACTATTAACTTAATTTTTAACTTGAGGAATAAAAAATAATTCAATTTTAATCAACTAGAGTTAATTTTATATTTAAACAATTATTATCATTATTATCATTATATTATGAATATTTTAAAATATCAATTGTTATGAATGCCTGTTATTTTTTACTGTTGTCACAGATTAGGGGTTTTAGGTAGGTTATTAGGCCAATAGTAGTTAAGTAATAAACAATTTGCTCATTTTGTTTTGTTTTTAATTAACTTAACTTGAGTTAAAAAATTAGTTTAACTTCTAATTTAATTGAATCGATCGTTTTTTTTTGAATTAACTTTGTTTAAATTTAACTTAACTGAGTTGAAAAAAATCATCACTTGCCCAGCCTTGCTTATGACGAACCTTGTATTAAATTTTCAAAAATTTTAACTTGGGAATTTTGTCAAGCAGTATCTCGAAACAGCGGAATTTCTGTTTGGTAATTCTTTATTTGAAATATTTCTCGACATTTTCAGTAGTTCACATCCTATATCTTTTTTTGTATTTTGTAAATTTCTGGGTTATCTGGGAAATAAAAGAAAACACGACTTATATACTACATTAAAAGTCAGTTCAGAATCTTTTTTTTCGTTTGCAATTGTTTACATTTGCATACAGTTTATAAACTACATTATTCTGTATAATATCTTATAGTATCTACCTTCTGAAATCTTTAACTCCTTCCCCTTCCCTAAAAATAAATTCTGTTTGCGCCATTGATTACCTCTACAGATTATACTTTTTGAGTTTCCCACCTGCAATAACAGTGGTACACCTATCAATATCTATCAGTTCTGTATTTAAACGGTTTTTTTTTTTGTTTTTAAATATATTTATTTTAGAGATATTTTATTTTTTGATTCTGACTCTAACCTAAATTGATTTCATGTTATCGAAAAGAAACGTTACCGTGATGACAAAAAAGAACACGAGAAATTTCGCTTACACATCGAATTTTATCTCTTATCAATATCACGTATAGCACCACCATCACCTTCTCCTCCTTCAATACCACTTTCACCATTACAATACTTTGATCATCGCCACCCCTTCACTCCACTCTATCCCAATTCATTTACTAATAATAATTTATTCGTATCGTAAAATAACAAAAAAAAAACATTTATTTTATTAGTGCAATTTGACCGAAGAGAAAAATTCTTAATTTCAGTAGTGTTTATTGATCACTGTGTTATAACAAAGAAATAATACAGAGTCAATAATTACTGAAACATCAGTAGATACTCATCACTTTTTCGGGATGGGATGACTTTTTTCAAAATTGTCTTTGTAAAAAATAAAAATAGTTAGTAATGGCTTTACAAACAGGTTGGATATATAAGGGCGAGGTGTTTTAATACTATATGTACTCCGAAAATAGTCAATATATTCCGAGATAACGATGAGTGTCTTATATGGAAAAGGGTGATCGCCTTGACTATATTGACTATATGCATTGATCGATTCAGATCGGTAATCACGACCAGCCAAGAATGGCGAGCAGGATCAGTCCGATGCTGGTGGACGGCCTACACATGATGCAATTACTGTTACCGGGCACACCTATCACCTATTACGGGGACGAACTCGGCATACAGAACACGTACGTCCGGTGGGACCAGACGGTCGACCCGGCCGGTCGTAACGTCGGGCCACTGCGGTACACAAAATTCAGCAGGGACCCCGTGAGAAGTCCGTTCCCATGGGACGATTCGAAAAATGCTGGTAAGTACCGCGGAGATTTCACTAAAAATTGGCGGAGTTTTTCGACAATGAAAATATATAATTGGTCGTAATATTATAAAATATTATTGATATTTGGTCTTTGTCATACCTATTATACCGATGTTTCTGTCCGCAGGTTTCACCAATGGGTCGAAAACGTGGTTGCCGGTAAATCCTGACTACTGGCAAGAAAACCTGGCGGCACTGTCCAAAACCAAGAGCCATTTAAAAACGTATAGGCAGTTAACCCGCCTTAGAAAAATGCCCTCGTTTATCAAAGGAAACTTGCACACATACGTGTTGAGCAAATGGGTGTTCGGTTTTTCAAGGTTGGTACGAGGTTTGTCATTCTCTAAAACATAATGATTTTGAAGCTCATTTACTAGACAAAAATTGAAAAACGACACGTGCCAATTATACAGATTAGTGGTAATTTTTCCGAGCTCAAATCTTATAAAAAAAAATTTGCTATGGTGTCACACGCGAGTAAGGTTGTAATTTTTCCCTAAAATTGTTACAATGTAAAAATGTAACAATTTAAATTGAATGTGAAAATATTGCAATGAAATAGGTTATAGTTAAAAAAATTACATGAAAGAACTAAAAATGTAGCCACATTATTTGAATTTAAAAAAATTAAAATTGACTTAAAATCAATAAGATTTTGTTATCAATGGGATTTTTATTTTACTACATTATATAGTATTTGAACAAAATATTTTTGTACAAATGTGAAAATCGTGATAGTCATGGACACATACATGTTTAGCTGAACTTCACTCAGAAATATTTTTCTTTAGTAATGATTTATTGTTGCGTATTGATATAAATTGAAATAATCTATATATTAATACATATATTGTTTTAAAATTTAACTAAAATAAGTATTTGAGTAATTCATTCAAATCATATTTAAATATGGTTACAAACACTTTTGAAAACTATTTATAAATACTTTTTTTACATATTATCCTATAGGAAGAGTCATTAGTAATTTTTTTATTTTTTTATATATAAATGTAGGTATTAGCATTATATTGGTTTATTATCCGAATAGGCAGTATACATTATACAAATTAGAATTGTGAATTCCAACATAAATTAAATTTTCAAACTGAGATAAACTTAAATTTTGAACGTGAAAAACCGTTTTAAAAAGACCTGATACTGGAGATGGTAGCGGCCACTGTTGTAGATGAGAAGTTGGGAAGGTAATATATAAAAGGTTATTTCATTTATATCTTTAAGAAACGATAAGCCATTGCTGACGAAAGACGATTCCGAGCGCAATTCGGTAATACATAATTTAAAGTGTCGTAATTATTTTTGCGATTTTCGTTTAAATTTGATTTCAAAACGCTTATTAAAATAAAAATTACCATGTTTTTTTGGTAAAAAACGTTGTCTGTGTTTTATAAGATATTGAAATGCTGAAATTGTACGTTTTCCTATGTTTTTCCTACTTAAGTGCTTTTATTTAAAAATGGCGTTAAAAATCAAAAAATGATCTGTTAAAAGTAGCATTTAGACAACTTGAGCTTTCATAAAAGTTGCTACCCGTAAAAATCGGAACAAGTTTACTACGAAAAAACGTGTTCACAGATTAGAAAAAAAAAAATAAACATCTTAGTAAAACCAATAGCTCTCTCGCTACATTCGGAATCTAAAACTGTAAAGATATTTTAAATGATTATTTGATTTCAAATATAAATTTTTTTGAGAAATATTTAAATTACAATAACAAGTCATTTGTGTAGAAGTATTTAAAATATTAATTTGAATAGTTAACAAGTACTTGTATACTTCTACACAAATACTTTATAAGTCCGTTCTACGTTCCCAATATGTATTTTCGATTATATTATTTGTTACTCTTAAGTGGTAAAATTCGAAATATCACCCTTAGATTTCTGCCATGTCCCTTGTCAATATCTACCAATATAGTGTTGATCAAATTGTAGATCCGGTATGGTGGGTATACGAACAGTTGCACGCTATAAAAACGGATCTTTTATAATATAACACGAACATTATTATATCCGGTTAAATGTTAAATTAAAATATTATAAAATGAAAGTAGGCGCGAACCGGGGTGTGTCCGGGGCGGTAAAATAATGGTAATCAAATTCGGATATCAATGCATGGTATTTCCGGTTAAGTAAATAGCGAAAATCGGTAGACCGCATTTTAAAAACTGTGGGGGGGGGGTTATTATTATGTTATATTTTTAGGGTGTTATTATTACCGTATTCCATTTTAATATTATGGTAAATAATATCACATATGTAGGTCCGTATTAAATGGGTGAGAAATTTACAATAGTGTGGACAATGTCAAAAATGTTGAATAATTTTGATAAGATACAGCAACTTAATAATGTATAGGTGTCCAAAATGTTTACTACTACCAACATTTCAAACTATATTTTATATTAAAATATAGACTTATAGTATAACCAATATAAATTAGTTTCTTTTAATGTAATAATAATTATAATGCGAATGAATGTCTGGCAACTAAAATATTATGTAGTATTTTTTTCATCATCGCAATCCGTCGCACGTCATTTATATCAACGGAAATGTCGAGCGGATACACAATATTATTTTTGTTTGGTCTTGGTTTTCAGTAATTATATTGTTATTGTAGAAAATTGTTTAGCAATCACGATCATATTTCCAATATTTTAAACATTTTGCATTCAAATGAGAGTCTCTTTTCGAAAATTTAATATGTAACGGTACGTCTTGGGAAACATCTTATAAATAACAAAATAATAATGTAAAAACAAAACTATTAAAATGGTTAATACTCGTAAATAAATATAGTAAAGAAATATATAATTAAAAAAAGACGAACATACTTCGCACGTGGGTGCAGCCACTGTTGTAGGTGGAAAGTTGGGAAGGTAGGATACAGAAGGGAAATTAATGTATGTATGTAAGCAACGATAAACCATAGCTAACGAAAAAACGATTCTGAGCAGAGTTCAGTTGATAATGTTGCTTTGTCAACAATATACAAGACATATTATGGTAAAATTATTACAATATACGTTTCCATAATAGCAACGGTTGTTTAATAAAGATTAAAATACTTAATAGAAACTTAATATTAACGAAAAATAAATAAAAACGTTAAACGGTTGCCAATGATAACCTTATTTTTAATCTTTCAATCTTTTTTAACCTAATGTTTTCCTAATTATCTCGAATATTAATGAGAATTTCAAAATATGACTTCTTTAAAGTACTACTTAGAGAAAATTTCCTTTCAGAAAATGTGCTATACTTGATAATCGGAGTATGCTTTCTAGTAGAAAAGGGTTTACATAAAAAAAAAAATAATAATAAACATCATTATAAAACTAATACATTTCTTGTTTCACTCAGAATCTAAAATTATGCATAAATTTATATATATATAAATTATTTCTATGTAAAATGACCAATTTGTACAATTATTTTTTTTTATTTATTTGCATTTTACATTTTGACTGTGATGTAGATGATGTTAAATTTTCGAATTCGAAACTGGTCGTATAATACATTTATTATATTACTCCAGGCGATGCACTCATTAATTTGATTATTTTTTAGTTTTATATATAATTTTTTATTTATATTTTTATTTACTATATTTATCTTGTAAATAATATCGCTGAACGAAATGACTAAAATACCTGAAAAAAAAAAATCAAATTTACTGAAAATTGGCGTGGATTCAAATGTTTGGTTAGTGGTAAAAGAATTACGTACCCTGTAATTATATAGTTTGAAAACCGTGCATACAAATGCAAACTATATTACCACAATCAAAATGAATGTACATTGTATACGTACTCATAGGCGTTAGGTTTTTAAAACGTATGGGAGGCTAACTATTTTAGATATTCATATACAGTTTTACCCGAATACATTCCATATATACCTTATAACCTCAGCTTGTCAATTTCATGCTGCAACCCCCAAGCCGCCCCCTAAATGGCATCCCTGAATGTACTCGCATTAAATCTTGTTAATTTTATTTTTTAGGAGTTTTTACGACCATCCAACGTTCTTTGTCATCATTAATTTTGGTAGCGAGATAGAAAATGTCGATATAAAATCAGTTCGAAAAACTTTACCAGACATCATGAAAGTCAAAGTTTCCAGTACAAATTCAGGTTATGTAACTGGGTAAGTATATTAAATTAAATATATGGTAATTAAAAAAAAAAAATTGAAATTACATAATAACATCAATCCAAAAAAATAAAAATAAAATATAAAATGTTTGTGTACATTTTTACGGAATAGCTTGTGTCTATTTAAAGCTGCGTCCACACCTAAGAAACAATTCAAAAACGTTTGTCGAACGTTTGCTTGATGTAGACGTGTTTTCAAACCAATTTGTTTGACAATAATCGAAACAAAAATGTTCGCTTGCTAAGCGAACATTTTGCGTGTTTGTTTGTACTTGTATTTCGATGTACCTTTATTGAAATAATTATAAACTCAGTGTTATATATATTATTATTTATTTCAGTTATACATATTATAAATAATTAAAATAGTTTTAAATGATGATATTTATTAAAACATTTATTTGAATATGATAATTAATAATATGATGTACAGTACGTATCAATACGTGACAGACTATTTAAACAAATCACTATTTTATTTTTAAATTATGCATAGTTTTCCAGACTATAGAGATATAATGCAATAATATCGCGTTTATAAATACATATTTTGTTATAACCTATATACAATTTCTATAAGTTCAAATGAGTCTGCGTGTGGCACCACACACGGAGAATAGTATTTTTTATTTATATAGTTTTAAATAATTTACCGACTACCGAGTCAATTAAAGTAATTCAGAATTCAAAATCACTCCTAGACATTCTGGTAAAATTACTAAATAAATCACCGTCATGTAAATCTAAAATTAAATTCTCATCACTGTAAATCTTTCTTCGTTGAAAAATTTTTCTTTCCCACTACCTGTTTTTGTTTTTCATTTTTTTTTTTTAATGTTTTATTACGCATTATAACGGACGCAGTAGCGCCAATGCAGCACGTGACTTGTTCTAGATCTGACATTTTCACGACTGTTGGCAAACATATAGCGAACAAATAAATTATGAACAAGCGATTGTTGTCGTGATAAAATGTTTGACAAACGTTCGAAAAATGTTCGGCAAACGTTTGGCAAATGTTCGACAAACGTTTGACAAACAATGTTTTCCCAAATGTTTGTGTGGACACACCTTAATATTAAATGTTTCGAACGATTTTGATTAATCAATATTCTGATAGCTGATATGTTTTTCTAACTTTCATTTTTCAGTAATTTGTTAAGGATCAGCAACATCTTGTTAAGACCAAAGGCATCCCTCGTGCTTTCAACGTCGAGACTAAACGAAGATAGTTATAAATGATTTTTTTTTTTTTTTTTTTTTTTTTTTGATTCTGAATTTAGAATGTATTTTTCATTCAATAACAAAACCCCAAACAAAATATTGTATTAGTCCAACCCATTACTAATAAAAATATTACGCTGTTTAATAATGCAAAATATTGTATTCAACTATACGAAATTAGCATAATGTAAATTTAATTAATATTATTTAATATTAATTTTTTTTTTGGAAAAATCCGTTTTATATAAAATATAAATAAATTAATATTGTACGACTATAATGAAATCTAAAGTATATTGATTATTTTAATTAAATATACCTATCTACTTTATATAATATTTAAACAATAATTATAATATATTAGATAGGTTAAAATTCACGCAGAATTATCAGAAAAATTCTGTCCCATATTATATAATATATTCTTAGAGTCAGTTGTGAGAGATGTAATTGATGATATCACGGGTTCAAGCATAACTGAAGAACGGCAGATAACATAAGCGGCCTATACAGACGCCGTAGGAATTACAGGAGAAACCAAAGAAAGTATAAGATAGACAACTGAAAAACTAATAAATAAGAAGAGATATTGGCTTGTAAGTTAACAAGCAAAAGAAAAAAATATAGTATTCATTGATATTTGGGGATTTAACCATCAATAGGGTATCAAATTTAATGACCATGTGATAATGACCAACAAGAAAATAGCCACGGGGAGATTAAGAGGAGAATAACAGAATGAAGTAAGTTTTATTTTACGCTTATACCATAAAGCTAAGACTATACAAAGTGCTCATTAGACCTATAATTCCGTATGCATGTTGAACGTGGGTGTCAATAAAGTTGGACGAACAAATTTAATATATGAAAACGAGAGGAAGAATAGATATAAACGAAGAACAGGGAATGCAGAGCTGAGAGGAATATTCAATGAGAAATGATTATATAATAATAATAATAATATAATGAAATATCTATACCTTGGATCGATATAATAGTTGGATATTTAAAAAAAAAAGAATAGGATATTTTTGTACTATATGGGTTGGCCAATATTGTAGATATACGATTGGAAAGGGATCACATATAGATTATAGCCTATTGAGTAATTTAGTCTGTATACTGTTTACAACTATCAATTATTAAAACCAAAAAAAACATTGTTTTTGGAAAGTTCGGAAAAAAATGTTTCGATAATTTTAAATTGAAACTCTATTCATTTGAAATTACAAAAAAAATTAAAATTGTTTGTTAGCTCTGAATCGGAATTCGGTTAATAGTTTTGCTTTTTCAGCAATATATATATCATATTATGGTAAAATATTTACATATGCATTATATATTTTGGTTAATGATATTTGTTTAATATTGTACCTATTTAACATCAATATGATAGTCCAATATGCTACAAATAATTTATTTAAAAAAAAGGCTATAATATTTACTAAGACATTTCGTACATTTTCCTGTTTTACTTCCGTAATCTTCCGGTGTCTCCGGTTTAATGAAAAAATTATAAACATTAAATTAGTAAAAAAATAAAAAAAAACTAAATCGAAAATAATAAAATATTTATTGTCGTACAAAATTTAGAAAAAATAATAAAATTGAATGTGATTGTACAAATGTTACACAACATTTATTTATTGTTCTAACTATTATAGTGTACCTTTAGACAATTTAAGATTCATTCAATTGGAACAAAAAATACACAAATTATATTTCGTTAAGTTTGAGTTATTCAGAATATTCCTATTCACTATTAAGTTACCAGCACTTACTTTTAGCCTTAAGTTCTGTTGGTCATTTGGTGTGATGAGAGATGCATGAGATGAACATACAGTTAATCGATAGACGCGTAATTAGGAACAGTTTTAATATCTATGAATTGTGTTAAAAGTGTTCGTGATATGAACCATTATATCACACAATTACTTATAAATATCAATATCAATATTGTTTTATAAACTTTGAAAGTTACAACCTTGCAGTTAAAATAAAAAATAAAAAAATATTCTTAAAGACAATCTCTCACGTTACGTAGAGTTGTTAGATATAGATGTTTTTTATTTTAAAAATGGAATATTTTTGCTGGTCACGTTGACCTCTGACTTTCCAAATTTAAATTCCTATAACCTGTTTTATAAGAGTCTCAGAAATTCCAATTTTTGTTATTTTCTATCCATTTTTAATCTGACAATACGTACAGATTAATTAAAAATCAAAGTTCAATGTGACCTGTAAACAATTTTACTCTTTTAAATAAAAACTAAAAAATTCAAATTGGGACGTTTTACGAGGCGTGACAGTATTTTTTATGAAGTCATTTTCGTTCATAAAAACAATTATGCTCCGTAACCCTACATGGGTAACGGGCAACAAGTTCGTGGACAAGTCTTATCTTTAAGGTAACTCTTAAAATGTTAAAAATAATTTTCAAATTATTAAAAATTGAAAAAATTTGGAAAACCCGATCGAAAGTCATAATAGTGACAGTGAACTATTGAATTTTAAATAACGGTTCTTAGATCTCGGAACCAATATATTGACGCCTGTTCGAGTTCATCCTCGCTCTTAGTGATTCACAATGTTCACTGAGGATTGTAAAATACATCCCTCGTGTTCGATTACCTATCTCAGATTTCGAAAATTGCATAAACCATTTAAAAACATATATCGTACTATAATACGTATGAAAAGAAGATTCTATTGACATTTATGTCATTGTCCACACTTTTCGATTTTAATGTGACGATTGGAAAAATGAATCGTTTCATTGATTACTTCTAATTGTTTAAATGACTATTAAACATCATTTGTATAGATAGCTTAAGTTTTTGATACTTTAGAATAATAAAATCATAAAATCGATGTATGATGTAGTATGTATATGTAGATGATTGCACGATTTAAGGATTTAAGTAGGCATCTAAAGTTTTATATTATTGCTTACAATTACAAACCGATAATTTTCAAACGATTTCTTAAGATTATTTGTACAGGGTTTATGAATTAAACTGTTATTGAATCTTAATCGTGTCGTGTCTATGTATAAGAGTGGTTGAAACTAATAGGTCACCACTCGAATCTAGTATAATATTATATCTTTATCGAATTATTGTTATATTATACCCTGTGGCGGGAAATGATTATGTGGCCAGAAACATTATTGATCCGGTTTATTATAATATATCAGTAAATACAAACGAATAATTACGTAGGTATATAAATTATCAATTATTGCAATCAATAGTTATTGGGTAGCCATCTCGTGATTGTAGGTATAAGGAATTAAATTATTGCAGGAACCTATTGCAGTGTACTCATTGACATAAATTGTTCTTAATTTCTAGCAGAGAAATATATTATTATATTCTAAAAAAAATTTTTTTTTTTAGAAATTAATAATTAGTATTAAATTATTTGAACAGTGAAAATTGTATTAGTAATTAAATATATTATATTTATTATGTGAGCATAGTGGTAGACAAAGAATCCTAATGGATCTAAGTCATATAACTTAACTTGACGTACCTATTCTTTTGCAATGTTTGAAAGGACAAGTACCAAATGGAAAAAGTTTCAGAAATGGTTTTTTTCTTAAGGAACGGAACACGGAACGAATTCCTTTTTATAATTAATGAACTAGGAACGGATTGTTGCTTTCGGTATAAACACTAAAATTTGAATTACCTTTCATTCTTTCTTCCTATATTAGTGGCACTTTTAGATTTATTATTTTTTATTTTTGTGTGTGAATATGAACAACTTTTCTACCAGAAATATTGTTTTTATAGAAAAACAACATGAGAACTTTATTGCTCCATTTTAATTTAATTGGTGAGTAAGAAAAACATTGGTTTGGTTTTCTTTGTAGTTTTTTTTTAACAATTGAGCGAAACCGAAAAAAAAGAAAGAACTAAACAATTTAAGAATGCTTTTATTATTTTCAATTTTTGTTGTTGTAATTCAGTTAAAAATCTTCGTAGAGATTAAACATGATGACAGGAGGATTTATATATGCTTTTTCTAGACATAGTTATATTTAAAAACATGTTTGAGCCATTTTTGAGATATTTGTAGACATTTTAGCTTTGTGAGTTTTTTATGTATAGGATGCTCGAATAATTACAAATTTAAATTTATTCATTATAATGTGTTTTACTTATAATTTTTGTACTTAGTAGAAAAAAAAAACAAAAAAAAAATTAGTGTCATGTAATATATTTTTTTTCATAAGGATTTTAATATCAACTTTTGACGAAAATCGTAAATATCATGGCATTTCAAAACACGTGTAACTGAAAATCAATAGTTATGGTTTTTTACAGATAGAAATGAAATAATTTTATGTATCTCACTTTTTCAACTTCTCACCTACAACAGTGGCAAACATATTCCCGGTTTTTTTTTTTAGTTTTATTAATATTTCTTTAATTTGGAACGAGAAAGGAACGCATTCCTTTTTCAAAGGAACTAGCTAACATGTCACATTTGTATGTGCTATACTGTCACAAATGTTAGTTTTCCCATCATACAATTATATCGTAAAAAAAATTACAATTTATTTTATCTGCTAAACAAATGTTTAATTTTTAAAATAAAAATTATAAGTATTTATACAAATTGTCAACATTTTTTTGTTAGTGCAAGTGCTACATTAGCACAGGTAAATTGACGTCACTGGTTGTATCTATGACTATCATAACACAGTAAAACGAATCAAAAAATCGAATTAGTTTCCGATTATAACCTTTAGGAAGCGAAGCTTAGGTGATTGCGTTTATCCAAGTTTGCATTCACAAAATTTATAACTGTTGGTGAATATAATATTTATTACTATTATTTTTTTTTTATTCTTACCAATTGTTAACAACGTAAAGTACACCTACTTATACTACACTTTATCGGATATTTCGATTGCGATGTAAGCACTATTGACATTCATTACGATGACGTCCACGTAGTATTCGTTATGAACTTATGTTATTATGTTTTGTAGTTCGGAGTCTAGACGAATGTCTATTAGATAAATCTATTACATCTACTGAAATAATATAAACGTAAGTGTTAAAATTGAAAACTATGTAATTCGTTATTTCAATTTTAAAATGCACAAGCACAAGTATCAACGGAATTACAGTAGACAACACAAATGTGTTGATCTTATAAAATGATATGAAATTCTTGTTCTTCTTAAGCTTTTAGAGTATCATGGTCTTCTTTTACAATTTCTCGCCACCTCTCCATGTCCTCGTTCGTTTCTAGTTCCATTCATTGTGCCATCTTTTGCAGGTCTACTCTCAATGAGTCCATCTACCTTTGCCTGAGGTGGCTTCCAGGTCTTTTCCCGTTAACTTCTCCTACTAGTACTTGTTTACAGATAATATTGTTTCTCCAAACGTGTCCTACCCATTCTATCTGCTTGTTTTTGATAAATATATAATTTTGGCATTTAAAATAGTTAGTAGATTATCCCGTTGGTTTTTACAGCACTCTTCATTTTCAGCAATTAGACCATAAATTTAACGGAGTGCTTTTCTTTCAAAAGCTAGTAAGTTTTGTTCGTTTCCTTTTGTTATCAACTATGTTTTGCTACCATATACTAAAACTGTGTGTAGGTTGCTCAACAATTAACCTATAGTAAATCTTTGAGCTTCTAAATAAGAGTGTGGATTTAAATGACTTTACTAATGCGAAATATCTATTATTGGCAGATGAGATTCTTAAATTTATTCCGTTATGTATATTGTTTAATTAATGTATGTTTGTACCTAGGTATTAATAATCCGTTTAGATGAGGCGAAATAATAATTAATTACCTATTACAGTGGTTTTCAACGTTCTTTTTGTCCATGGAACCCTTGGGTGATTTAAAAAATTCCTATCACATCCTACACAATATAGTGTACTCTTATATCTTTGATTTTATATAATCATAATTCATAACCAAATATAAACTTTTAATATATTTAGTAAAACTAATTCCCCTATGAAATAGGCTATATTTTATCCAATGGTATTTTGAAATTAGGAAAGAGTTATATTAAATCCATATGTAAGAAAAAAAATATGTGTTTAGATTAAGTCATAAAGCCAGTAATACTACAACATTAGCCTACCCATATAGTACCAAGTATCTTGGATATTTTTTTTCAAGTACCCAACTATTCTCCCGATCCAGGGTGCAGATAATGTATTATATTTTCAAATTTTGTCGGTTAGATAAAATAAAACTGTAGTAAAGCAACTCGATACAATAATAAGTATCAAAACGTTCTAAGTTATTAATATTTAATATTTTCAGAAAACTTGATTGGTAGCAACAAAAACCTCGTACCTATAATATCTTATTTCCCTATATTTTCGATTCTGAGTGGAACGAAGAAACTTATAGCTTTATAATGATGTTTATTACATTGTTTTTTCTGTGGACAACTTATCTACCAGAAAAATTGCTCCGATTTAAAAGTGCACTTTTTCTGAAATGAAATTGGATTGATGAGATACTTTAAGGATGTCAATTTTTGATTTTTCCAGAAAGTTTTTCCAAGAAGTTGGAAAAAGCAAAGGAAAAAAATTGGAAACAACCAGGGAACAACGTTGGAAAAACGGGAAATTAGGTACAATATTAAACAAATATTATTAAAGAAAATATATAATACGTATGCAATTATTTTACCATAATTTCACAAATATATTATTGAAAAAGCAACACTATTAACCGAGTATTGACTGTTAACAATATTGTTAGAGTTGTTTTTCGTTAGCAATGGTTAATCGTTGCGTACAGATCTACATTAAATTTCCCCTCTACCTACTCGACTTCGCATCTACAATAGTGGCTTTCCCACCGTGCGAAGTATGTCCGTATATTTTTTAAATATCTTTTCATTCTTTGGACTTTACGAGTGTATAGTTTATAAATATTGTTGTTTATTATCTACCAATCAATACTTGAATGTACGTCACAACTGAATCTTGAGTAGGTACAAAGATTATAAGTTAATTCAATTATAATAGATAGGGATAACCCTTCTACCACTTGGGTGTCGATAGTCGTTTAACTAACCGCTAATCAAATTCAAAAGCGTTATCTCAAATGAAAATACATAAATAGTCGGCAGCTTTTGATATACTTTTCATTAATTACGTTACATTGAACCAACAATAAGGCGAGTACGTAACACGCAATACAATGTTTAAAGTCACATCGTTTCTGTGGCTGTTCGTTTTCGGCTGCAGCTCGGTGTCGTCCGAGTTAATTTACAACGGACTGAGCAATTCGTTCGAACCGGATTGGTGGCAATCTGAAATCATTTATCAGATATATGTCAGGTCTTTCAAAGACAGCAACGGTGACGGAATCGGTGATCTGAACGGTTAGTCGATTTTTTTTTCCGTATCTTATTTCACCAAGAGGTGGTCTAGTCAAAAAGTATGGATTTGATTCATAATACTATAACGTATAATTCACAATTTTCAATCAAATTATTAAAAATTATCGTGTTTAACATGCTCACATATTTTATAAGTACCTAATTCATTTATCTATATATGCTCATAATATTTATGTCATATTTACAAGGATAATATGAATGCAATAAAACACTCTATTTACTACTATTTCTTCTACACTATAACAAATGAATAATACAATTACGAAAACCAAATAAAACTCTCAATAGAATTTGTTTTTCCTTTCAGTAACTAATAACAAAAAGGAAAGTGTAACTTATTTCTAAGTGGGTAACTAAAATCGAGTGGACAACCACGAATACAACCAAATTATTTTGTTTATGTGTAAATATGATTTATTCGTTTTCTTCGTTTTACAACGTTTGACATAAACCGATGATAAAACATTTTACAGTACCAAAACAAAAATTTTAATCGGGCTATTAGAGTAAATATTCTTATTATTAACTTCAGTTTTTCTTTTTTTATCTCCATAGTAGGTATGCGTATGAATATCTCAGAATTATTGTATTGTTTTTCCAATTTGCTCAATAATATTTAGTTATCTTCGCTATATTTAGGCAAGTCACAGTTAGTTAAAAAAAAATATTCTTCAATATACAGAGGATATTTACGATGATCTACCACTTGAAATAACTTTTATTCGATTCAATATTTTTGATGCATTTTTGTTCAAATAATTAGTATGCATCTGTATTACAATTTAAATATGAACATATTTTTTTTTAGGGTAAGAGAGGATAGGTTAGGTTAGGGACTTAAAATTAAACTATAATTTTTTTAAAAAAATTAAAAATGGCTATTTTTAAAAATAGATTTGTAGACAATTTTTAGTGGTTGAAACATTTTGTCAAAGTATGGTTTTTTATTTTTGATGTTTTTGTAAACGTGAATATTATTCCTATTGTGGTTATTCTATTACAATATAATTTAATCAGTTATTAGTCAGGGCACATGACAAGGACTTTATTTTTTATAAATTAATACCCTCTCATCATTACGATAAAGGATAGAGATTATTCTTGAAACAGTAAATCAAAAATGGTTATTTATTTTGATTAACAATATTGTTATGATTAAAAAGAAAATTATTTAAATTTCTAAAAAATCGTAGAAAATAAAAGACCATACTTTGACAAACGTTTCAATCATCAAACATTTTCTAAAATGGCCATTTTAAATTTTTTAAAAAAATTATATTAAAATTTTGAATTTTTTTTAGTCCCCTTCCTCTAAAATAAATGTTCATATATTAACTGTATAGCAGAAGCATACTTATTATTAAAAAAAAAAATTATCAAAAATATTTAATAGAACAGAAGTTATTTTAAATGGAAGATTATCCTGGGATTCTCTGTATAGATACATTTATTATTATTAAGTTTTAAGTTAACTAACTTTTTACAAATGATATTTTTAGATTAATTTTTGAAAAATTATGTTAAATTGCATTAATATTATGTTATTTCACCTTTCATGCAACGAAATGATCAGTGCCTTGATCTTTAATAGCTATAATATCTACAATAACATTTACGAATGACAATGTTATCATTTCGTTATTTGTATAGGCATAAGAGAAAAAGTTCCTTACTTCAAAAGTATAGGCGTTGGCGCGGTATGGCTTTCGCCGATATTCCTCTCGCCACAAAACGATTTCGGTTATGATATATCCGACTACAAAGAAATCGATCCAATTTACGGTTCGATGGCAGACTTTGAACGAATGAGGGACGAGTTTCATAAAAATGGTACGTGGGTTTGATTATAATAATTTTTGCAAAATAATTTGATTACGTTTTAATAATGATTTATATTTATAGGTATAAAAGTGTTATTGGACTTTGTGCCTAACCATACGAGCGATGAACACGAATGGTTTCAGAAATCAATTCAGAAAGTTCAGCCTTTTACTGACTATTACGTGTGGAAAGATCCGATTATCGACCAACAAGGCAATAGAACTCCACCGAATAATTGGGTGAGTTCTATATAGTAGTATACTAATAATTCATTCATTTTTCGTATTTTTTTTTTTTTAAATAATTTTATAAAATATTATAAATCAAAACAATGACCATTGTAAAATGTGTTATAATCACTTATTTTATTTTTAAACGCTGCACAAAATTTGTCAAACCGTTTTTTACTATCCCCGAAAAAACGTTTTCCAAAACAAAAACACACACACACACACTATTCATTCTGTAAAAGTATTAGTTTATTAAATATTAATGCATATTTAGTAGGCAATTACAATTTCGAAATTTAGCTACCACGAAAATACTGTAATTTTGTTTTTGTGGTGACTTAATATTTGTGTGGAAAAGTTATGCGTATTGGGTAGTAATTAAAACTTAAGTGTGTTTTTGTTTTTGAATGTATGTATACAGATTAATTTACTAAGCAAACACCATTTGTTTGGTTAAATTTTACATATATTCAAATTCTGATTTTTGGAATTTTTAAGTGTATAGTTAAAGTCGATACTTTCAAATACAATTTACAAATACTATGGTGATACAAACTAGTTTTTTCAAATGAGAGCCTATATTATTAAAAATTTTTATTCAAAGGTTTTTAAATGATTTTAGAAAAATGCCTTTTTCTAAAACATTTACAGAACATTACTCTAAATGGGTAGTTCCTTATATAGTTTCCATTATATCAATTGGAAAACGGTGATTCAAAATAGTTGTTTTTTTTTTAGATTTTCAATGAAGAGATGATGCTTATAGTTTAATTCAATATATTTTTTAATATCATAATTTCAAAAAAATAAACAAAAATCTATTCTACGGGTTTTAAGCCGTGAATTCTTATTATTAATTAGATTTGTTTATTCGTGGATTGTATTTTAAAAGAAACAATCAACGAAATAAAGATAATAAATAATTTATAATTTTATAAATTTGTGTACCTTAAGAAAATTTTCGTTATTCCAGTTAGGCGTATTCAACAGCGGATCCGCGTGGGAATGGAACGAAGAACGTCAACAATATTATTTACATCAGTTTCAAGTCAAACAGCCCGACTTAAACTACAGAAATCCGTCAGTCGGAGAGGAAATAAAGGTACACATACTATAATTTCGAACGTTTGCAAAAACGTTGTGTTTGATGATTTAAAATTTGATATAATATTACTTACGACGAAGAACACGCTATTGTATTGGCTGGGACGCGGCGTAGACGGATTTAGATTTGACGCGGTAAATTATCTGTTCGAACGAAAAGATTTGGCGGATGAACCAAAATCGAACAAGATCGGTTTTCTGGACACCGATTACGATTCGTTGATCCACACCAGCACTCTCGATCAACCGGAAACTTATGAAATGGTCGGAGTGTGGAGACAGATGTTGGACAGTTACAGGACCAGCGAAAAGAAAACCAAGTAAACAAAACTCGTAATTAAATAAACATTTCTGCAACAAATACGTTTATCCAATCACGGCGCATGCACTTCAAAATTGGAAGAGATTAAACAAAATAACTACTGTTTTAAAACGAAAATTTTTGAAAGTACTTTATTTATTAAAATAATTTCCCCTCTCCTCCTTCAAAAAAAAACTAATAAAAATACGATGCGACAGCACGTGATTTATAAACTCCGTTTTTTTTTCTTTTATAAACAATTTCATGATTTCTATATAGGTTCATGATGGTGGAATGTTATTCACCTTTTGACAAAACAATGAGATACTACGGTAACCAGTCATCACCCGGTGCTCATTTTCCATTTAATTTTATGTTCATCGGCACTTTCGATCAACAATCCAACGCACCCAAAGTTCATAATATAATCAAATCCTGGTTTGAGGGTATGCCTAATGGCATGTGGCCAAACTGGGTGGTAAGTAAATATATGTTTTATTTGTTTATCGTTTTTTTGGGAAGAGGTCCTCTTCTGATTTTACAATAACCTTACGTTGTTTTATAATCTATTTTCATCCACAAAAACGAACAAAACAAATAATGATTAGAAAAAAAACAAATGGGAATATTTTCGAAAAGTTTTAAGTAAACTAAACTGCATATTTTAAGTTACCTATCGGCTACTGCGTGAAATAATTTGATGTAATTTATTTACCCGTACAAAATAGTGTTTTTCGAGAAAAAAAAACATTTTGGTAAATCCAAAGGCTATAAAAATAAAACAATTATGTGGATTCCTAATAGTAGTTATCAATATACATACTATCTTATTCAGCTGGGAAATCACGACAACGCACGGGTGGCTACCAGGAGTAACCCTTTATTGGTGGACGGGCTCCATATGATTCAAAGCCTCTTGCCGGGCACTCAGGTGACTTATTATGGCGACGAGCTCGGTTTGATCGATACCAACGTCCGCTGGGACCAAACCGTCGATCCAGCAGGTCTCAACGTGGGTCCTTACCGGTACACGAAGTTCAGTAGAGATCCCGTTCGAACGCCGTTCCCGTGGGACAGTTCGTACAATGCGGGTAATAATAATGATTTATAATAACGAATCTAAAATATAATCCAAAACGATAATATTGATTATTATTTGCGACTATAGGCTTTTCTAATTCTTCTCATTTATGGCTGCCCCTCAACTCCGATTACTGGTTGAAAAACATGGAAGAAGAATCGAAGTACAAAAGCAATCTAAAAACGTACAGACAATTGTCAAAACTGAGGAGGAGCCCCGTGTTCGTAAAAGGCGATATGCATTTATACACCTTGTCTAAATGGGTGTTTGGATTTTCCAGGTACTTATGTACAATGATAAACAATGATTAATATTAAACATAGTATTTTAGCTTTTATTTCACCTATTTTACCTTACCTTACTATTAATTTCGTTTTAAAAAATCATATTTCGAATCTACCGCGTTTGCCAATGATTTAAAAATGAAATATCTTATTTATACAAATTGTTTCTGAAATATTTTTATCATTTAGTCGCACTTTTTTTAAATATTTATTTTCGTAGTTTAATATTCCATCATTTACAGTTTGATTAAATTTATCATTTACTTAATTAAGATTTTGAAAGCTCTATAAAAATGTTTGTGATCCTTTTTGTCCCATATATATATATCGGATCGTGATTTATTGAATTTTGCGTATATTAAAAAATCCTTTAAATATTTGGATAAAATACTTTACTCAATAAAAATTTAAACATTATACGTCACCATGAATATTAAAAATGTCAATCTATTAATTTTTCGAAAAATTACTTTTCAATACATAGCAGTATAGATATGAATTATCTTTGTTGAAGTTTATTACAAAATGGTTACCTTAAGTTTTCATTGAGATACTCAAAATAAAATTGTTCTAAATAATGAAAAAAAAAAATAGAATAGAATAGAATCTTTTTAAAGTGAATTATTATTTGAGATATAATCTATTATCATTCAAATATTTTGAAAATAAAGAGATTCTTTATTAAAAAAATAAAAGCTGTAAAATAAAATTACCCACAAATATAATTATATGAAAAAATCAGTACAAAAACGTTCAATCTCAAAACAGAGTTTTGGAATGGGTATATCTCTGCAATTCTTACATTGAAAAGGTTGAAAACTCGTGATCATTAAAATCTATTTAAATTTAAGAGCAAAACTTTGTATTAATTATTGTTATTATTATTATTATTAAATAATAGCATTCCGGAATCATCAAAAAATACATTTTCAAATTTTAAAATACTCTTTCTCATAAAAATTGTCCTAAATGGCATAAAACCTTTTTATTCTCAAGTGGTAAGTAACGAAACTGTACCGATTGTTGTAGGAGTTTTTACGACCATCCGACGTATTTCATCGTGGTCAATTTCGGCAGCGAAATCGAAGTAATCGACCTTTTGAAAGTTAGAGATACGTTACCGCTGACATTAAAAGTGAAAATTTCTAGCATAAACTCTGGTTACATTACGGGGTAAGTGAGACATGTTTAACAACAGTAATTTTATTTTTACATTACTATAATAATTAAAATAATTTTGTTTTAACTTTTATCATTTTTTTTTTTTTTATTTTTTTAGAAATATAATCCATACAAAATTCGTTGTACTCAGACCAAAAGCAGCTCTTGTACTCACAACAGCGAAGACCAATTCAAATTCATAAGACGGGCCGGTATTATTATATTTTTTTTTTTAACTTATAATAATTATTGTTAGTATTGTTGTTTATTGTGCATATATTGTATATTAATTATGATTTGTTTTTTATTATAGCGTAGTAATATTATATTGAAAACTGAATGTGGCTTAAAAAAATTGTTACTACGTACCTATACAACTGTATTTATAATATTATATTTTAGAACAATAGACACTGTATAAATAATATTAAGTAATTAATTATATTTTAAGCACATTTCTCGGTTAAAAACATCATGAAAACTATTTTTTTTTTTTCTATTATTATTATTTTTTATTTGTTTATTAGAATAAACGCTAGTCAGCTTTTTACAAATATTATAATTATTATTGTTTTTTTTTTCAACATAATATATGACTGAAAAATGAAATTATACGGTTTTTATTTAATTTAATAATCAATATAGTATTTATTCAACAGTTTTAATGTATAACCGCACATGAGTGTGGATATGCGACTCATGTGTGAGGAAATATTTAATTCACAAAATTTAGATGTCATCAGTGAGAGGTAGTTTTCATTTAGATGAATGACCCTAATTCAAATATCATTTGGGCGAATTAGCATGGCACTTTATATGTCTAATACATCATTTTCGCGAACTTTGTGTACAGTGTTTGAAGTCTGAAATATTGAATTTTCAACAATTATTTCAATATTTGGTCCCACTGTCTCACAAATATAAGCTTCCTGCCAATTTAGGTATTTAATTATAAGTACGTTGTGTTTTTTTCAAGTCAAAATTTTGTATAATATATTCTAATATATACAATTTTAAGACACAAAAAAAAAAAAAAATAATAACCAAAAAAATTGGTTTAATTTAAATTCTCTTAAAAAAATATTGGTTTTCCTTAAGGAAAGTTATCTTAATCTAAATTTTTTATTAGTTTGGTAACTCATACCCATTTTTTTACATAAATATATATATTATATAATCAGTAATCGTCAATTTTCTTAGAGAACATTCTTTTCACGACTTTAATGTATATTTTTGTTTTTCTTGATATAATTGTTGATAAAATTTGATATATTAAGAACTTATAAAATCACTAACCAAAACCAAAACCCAAATGTGATAAATGATGTGCAGTAAATATTATAAAGTTATTGTATACTTTTACATAATATTTACTTACAACTTATCTAAATTGTACAACATACGTTGGCGAACATCCATTCGATAAAGATAAATTCACCCAAACGATCGGTTAATTCTTTGTCCAAATGATGTGTACTTTATACCCAGGTAAATTTTTGGTCATTCGTCCAGATGAATGATGCCCCCAGTAAGCGCTAGTCATTTGGATGTCATGACCAATTTTCGGCCGTGTTTGGGCATCAATTTTGTAATATTAAACATTCCGATTATGCACCATATACCGATATTTCTTAATAATTGTTTGACGGTCACCGGTTTATAACTTATAATATGTAATTTGTTCTTCTAGATACTTCATAATATTAATAATATTAATATTATTATTATTACCAAAGGTCCACTGTCCGCCCGATATCAAACAAGTCAAAAATATTAAAATTTATACCTTACAATTACTCGTTAAATCTCTTCAAGTGCTCTTTTCAATTAAATAATAAATAACAAAATTAGTTGGCACCTTTTGTACTAAATTAATTCGGGACAGATTAATGAATTGATATAATATAATTGTCATCCCAAAAGTGTTAAAAACTAATTATTTTATAGTAAAATTGACAGTTACGTAAAATTTGGAAAAACCTGTATATAAAAATTAAAAATATTATATTTTTTTATGTAAAAGTCTAACGTCGAAATCAAACATACCATGATCAAAAAGTAGTCTTCACAAAGATAGAAAAAAAAAAAAAAAAAAAAAAACTATAACCAATGAGTGGGGAAACTATACATTGCCCGAATGTTCTACGCTCGCGGTACAGTGTTTCATGCTCCGAACCCTTATAACAATGATAATAACAGAAACCGTTATACCCGAGCGAAGTACGTATCGGACGGCGTGGCATATACGACTTTGCCAAAAGCGGTGAGAGAATTTCAGAAAGAAAAGAAATGAAAAAAATCTATAATACATATTATTAGCTCGTTCTGTCACAATATAATTATGCGAGAATGTGTGTGTGTGAGCGCCGTTTCTTTCTGTGACGTACCTACTGCTTTCTATTGTAAGTAAGTTTTCACTCGGTATGGGCGTGTCCAAAGCGGCGGTAGGCATACACTACCGCGGCTATGTTTACGACGAAAAAAAAAGAAGAAAAGAGGGTTGTCGTCGTGTAGGGGTCGACCCACCCTAAATACAATAATTATCGGTTTCCTCCGCGAGTGTGTATGTGACAGGATAGATCGGCCGATGACGTGTATAATATAGTTTGTATAAAAAAAAAAAATAATAATAAATATGCGCCTCCGACGTCGTTTTAAAGGTTTAAAAATTGATTTATTTCAATAGCTTATTAGTTATTACTACATAGAATGTAACAATATATAATTATAATTATGTTTCTTTCTTTTATTTTTTCAACGATAAAAACTGCGCAACGAAGTTTTTAGTATTGGCTCTAGGAATGGAAAAAAAAGCGCGCTGATAAACCTGATGGGTACCACATTGTTTTAGCTGGAAAGTTAAAAAAGTAGGATAAATAATGATGTTTAATTTATATCTGTAATCAACGATAAACTATTGCTGGTGAAATACTTTGAAAAAAATTCCATTTGATCCGAGCTCCCACCTCGCATACACCAGCGGCTGTCCTCATATCAATCCCAATCGCATTCAACCACATATTTTTCGGTCTTCCTTTCTACATTTGTTTTCATTAAATAATTCTTACTGCTTCAGATTACTTTTTTCCCATGATATGCCCAAACCATCTCAATCAATTTTCTCTTAAACTTCTTTTGTGTATTCAGGATAAGGGATAATCCTATGTACTCTCGACACTTCAATTATCTACCTGCTCATTCTCATCACACTAATATTCTATCTACTGCCAAACACTCCGAACCATACAAAATAGACAGTCTCGGCATACTTTTTTATAGCTTAACTTAAATCTCATTGGATTAGTTTAAACCATAATAAAAATTAAAAATCATACAAAAACAAGAATAATTAAGAAAAATTCAGAAAAATACGATATTTCATTCTATCTTAATGCACCGACCTCGAAAATGGCCATGGTTAAAATAAAGTACAATTTTAACAGGACTTAAATTTTAATACAATAATAATAAAACATTTTTTGTTAGTTTTCGATATACTTGTTTTATAATGCCTTATTTCGACACGCGTTGCAGTATGCCATGTCTTGATAATAATAAGTAGTATACGTGCATCATATTATTGCTCGAGACGAATCGCCCTGTATGTGAAAATGCCGAACGCCAGTCCACCGTTACAAATACGCAAATCGCATGCACATTAACCGCATTCGGCACCCCGATGCATTTTTGTTCATAATTTGCGTGGTTCACGCGCATAAAGGGAGTGTATATTATGGTATAAAACGCCGTGTGTATAAAAACTTCGTATACGCAATGATTTCGTTCATAACAAACGATTTATTACTTCCACGCAATTGGTTCGGTCAAAACGTCAGACTGCGGTGTGAGTGAGAGGGAACGATGTTCCGCGGAGAGTGTCTGCACGACCGTGGGTAAAAAGATTCTTCTATTCAAGTGCCAAGGTATTACAAAAAAAAAGTCACAAATCTTCCGCGCCGTTTCACTATTTTTACTATGTAATAAGTATTATATTATAAAATATACAATTGATTCGGTGACCAGTGATACATGAGATATACGAGTATGTCCGTTATTATTTATTTAGGTACTTTGTCGCCCGGTTATTATGTTATTCGTTTATGAACCAAACGTGGCAATAATATTATTATTGGGTTCCTATCGATTTTTAAAATATTTACACGATTTTGTTTCCCGGCGACAGATTTCAATTCGCATTTTCTAGGTTATGTGCGAGGTGTGCACATTTATAGGTACTGAGTTATAACATTGACTGTTGCTAGAATGCTCTTTAGTACCTATTTATAAAGATCTATAAATTATCGCAAATAGAACATTTATCTTATATAGGCCGTGAATTTATAAATCGATACTATCAATGTTATTGCCACAATTTATGATAGTGTTTTAGTGTTTATTTTTTTTTAAATTTAATACATTTTCCAAATGTTTTTACATGTTATACAGCGATTGTAATTATACATTAATTTTTATGCAACACGATTTTCTGAGTGTAGTGAAGATACGATAGTTTTACTAAAATATGACTTTTTTTTCCATTGGAAAACACTTTTTCGATTAGTTATAACTTATAATAGTCTGATAGTTTGATTTATATTTATACTGTATCTTAAAAGATTTTGGCCCGGTGGTACCTAAATTAAAAAATGTCCCAAGATAACCAACAATTTTTACAAATAAAAACCCGAAAACTATAATGACAAGGTATACTACGTTTTTTTTTTTTTTATTAATACATGTACACATTATACACATATAATAATATTATTTTATATACAAATTTTTTAAATACACTACTTTTCCCTACATAGCCTATATAAGAGAAGAGGTTAATGTATTCAGATTTACGAAACATAATAGACAGAATTAATATTTCGATGCGATCTTGACTTTACGTAACTGTTATGTGATATATCTGTTGTCAAAACAATATGGTACTCTGTACATATAATGTTATTATACATTCGTCAGTGATGATATCGCGCTGGCATCGACGTATTTTCTTTATTTTCAATCAGAAATCTTCGATGCACTCACTGATGATCTTATCACAAAACCTCGACGTTAAAAAGGTGGTTCAAACGGTGTTACGGATTTGTTATCAATTTTTTTTTTTTTGTCATCAGTAATGGAGGGAACGACAAATAATACAATGTCGAAACGCGTGGAACTTGATGGAAAACGAAAATCAAACTTATATTCGACTTAAAACTTACCGTAAAAATATATAATGTATAATATTAATTACAATTATACACGATGTGATCGTTAGTAAATTGTATTACTGTCACCGTGTGAGGTTCCATCAGAGGTAAATACATTTTTATTTGTCTTAATTATTTTGTATCGAGTCTCGCATGCGGCGAAATTAATATTATATACTATCCTCATAGCACACGAAATTAATTATACATAATATAATACAGTTAAATATGATTTGATGTGTACGAGGACGTGATTTTAATATTTTATGTTGTAAAAAGACACACGATGGCTCGTAAAAAATGGATTAGAATTCCCTATTTCACGTGAGATTTACATAAGAATATA